ACGAGTGAACCACCAGCATGTGTAGCAGAGACAAGTCACCCTTGCTGTGCCCTGTAACTCACAGCTCACAGAATCATAAGAAAGGTAACAGTTGTGTTTATCCACCCAGCTTTTGGGGTGATTTATTATGTAGCAATATTTATATGACATTAGAAATCATTACCTAGAAGGGGAATGATGCCACCAAAAAACCCTAAAACATGTAACTTTGACTTGGGAGAGGTGAAGGCTGGAGGCTAATAATAGGACTGTTAGTGGAGACTTGAAAAAGTGAAGAAACCATTTCTGGAACCTGAAAAGGGAAGACCCAGCTTATGAGTTTCCATTGATGTGACACAATTAGTGAGACTACTGTTTATAGTAACTTGGAATGCACTCAGGGATCTGGTTGAGATTTCTAGGTAAAAGGCAGAAAATGCTGAAATTTTTTTTTAGCCATGTACGCTATACTGCAAGACAATGAGCTAAAGAAATCATTCAGCTTTTAATCGAGAACATAGAGAAAAGAGAGGATCCAGGACTGGCTCTCCAGCTAGAAAAGAGGCCCAATGTAAAAAAATGACCTCAATGGCCGGGGGTTGTGGCTCAGTGTTAGAGCGCTTGCCCAGCATGTGTGAGGAACTGGGTTCTCATAAAAAAGAAAAGAAAAGAAAAGAAAAAAAATGACCTCAAGGCAAAGATTAAATCCAAAGCACTCACTAGCTGTAAAAAAAAAGGGCCTCAGGTCAGGGTCAAAATCTAACTCAGAGTGAGTCTACTGAGACCCTTCCTTGAAACTTCAGGAAGATTTAAAGTAGTATCTCTCAGACCCTCTGTAAGGTAAGAAGGGGTATAAGAACCCTAAGAGTGTTGTGGTGCCGTAGCACTCTCACCTTCCAAAGTAGGGATTCAAAGGCACAACCGTTATCCAATGGTATAGACTATAACTTGACACATGAGAAACCCACAAAGTTTTTAAAGGAGTAATATCACCATGGACTATAATGATCAGAGATAGTTAAAATGAAAGAAAACCTCTGGACTCCCTACTTTCAATGAACAAAGGACAGATTGAGAAAGTTAAAAAATAGCCATTTTTATGGAAAAGAAGGATTTCTTGAAAGACAGAACCAAGAGCAACTGAGAACAATATATTAATAAAACCAATCCTGAAGGGCAG